AGCTATACAAACAAACTGAGGGAGTTCCCACGGGGTCACCAGTATCCTGATTGTAGCAGATATATTCATGGGTAGGTGAAAAAACTTAGCGATTGAAATGTTCAGCCCCAGCCCAAAAGTATGGCGGAGGTATGTAGATGACATATGCACTGTACTTAGAACACAGAATATAGATCGATTTTCCGAAAACATTAACTCAAAGGTGGAGGTAATTCAATTCATTTATGAATAGGAAAGTCAGGAAGGGGTGCTTCCAGTGTTGGATTGTAGCATAAAAAGGAAAGAAGATGGGAAGTTAAACACACTAGTGTTTACAGGAAACCCACACATTCAGACAGATATTTGGACTTCCGATCATTCCATCCTATGTCAGTGAAAATAGGATTGGTGAAATGTTTAAATAAGAGAGCACAAAAATTAAGTAGTACCAAGGAAAATCTAAGACAGGAAGTGAGGCATATAAGAGAAGCCCTGAAACTTAACAATAACCCTGATACACTAGTCAGAAAGTATTTAGGTAAATGTAAAAATAAAATAAATAATGATAGTAGTGATAGTGATAATAATAGTAATAATAATGATAATAATAATAGTAATGGCAATGATGACATGCATGTAAAACATGCGCAAGGCGATGACAACACCAATAATAAAGAATCTAAATCATCAGTAGCAATTCCATACAAGGAAGGAACCTCGGAAACCACCTTACGCAGAATTCTTAACAAGGCAGGAATAAAAGTAGCATTCAAGTTGCCCACAAACTCAATTAGAAATAAGCTTTGTCGGTTAAAGGATCAATTCTGTGGAGCCTTTAAAACAAAACAATTTAGTTTATCTAATACCCTACTGGAATAATTGTCAGGTCAAATACATTGATCAAAGAAGTAGAACAGAGGCGGTCAGACTAGTCGAGCATGTAAACCTAGGAGTAAAATCTAGATTGGTTGACCCAAATAAGATAAATCTAGAGAATAGTTCAGCTATAGCACTCACTACATGCAGTTACACACAACCATACAATAGGACGGGATAGGATGACAGTTTTAAAATCTAATATCACAGGGTGGAGGGAGAGATAAATAGCGGAAGCTTTGTTTATCGAATCAGCTGCAAATACATGTAATAGGAATGATTCAACACCTGTCCACTCGGACATCTGGAGTATTCTACTAACCCTACGACAAATAGAAGACAAAGGAAACTATAAAACTCAAGTTTCGAAGTCGTGTGATTATAATTGATGGAATGATTATGAACAGTAATAAATTTTGTTTGAAACGTCATCCAGTTAATAAAACTGTTTCACTGTGTGATATATCTAATAAACAAATTAATATGGAATTGCCTACTACTACAGTGCCTAAGTTTTATACATATATTAAGAAGGGTGATTAGTTTTTCAACTCTGAGAAATCTACGTAAGGCCATTAAACCACTTTTAAACAGAGAAAAGTGCCCTTCTAGGTTTTATATCATGCCGTTAAACAAAATAACACGGAAGTGTAGTCTAAACTAATTAACACCTTTTAGTCGGAATTATTCTTGGATCAGCCGGGTAAGTTCATCAAACAGACCAAATTGATTTTCATAAAATGCACGGAGTAACCTTTACTAACTGTGGTTTTGTAATATACAACCCGAGTGCACCACTAACAACCTTCGCCCCATTCGAGACAAGCAACAGAACAATATTGTGATTAGATAACCTCAACGTTTCGGTCAATCACTACTGATTGACGTTAGTGCTTTTCAGCGACTCAAACGGAACAGTAATATATATACCACTATAAAAAGAACAAAGTTTAAACTGGGAGAGAATCGAAAAATCACAAGAACACAAAGAACAACGAATCTATAATTCACATGAAGCTGACTCAACGCAAAATTTAGCATTACAACAGTAGTCACTGGTTAGGCAGATCATTACAGTCATACAGGGAGTCAGACGGGGGTCTTTTGCTGCAGTATTGGACAGTGAGGTTTCGAATCTCAGCAGAGATAACATTCCACCCCATGATCACAGCTACCTACACCTTACTGACGAATGCCAGTAATCATGGAACCCATTTCCAGAGCTTCCTGTCAACCACCTTCAACTGTCTAACATTAAACAGAGTAACTATTGACAAATTATTCTGTCAATAAATCTTCGATTATATGCTAACTGCTCAATGAGCGGTAATTACTTCTGCTATCGAATCTCAAACATTTATGGATTTGACAACACAATATAGTCAAACAGCTCACGGACAACAAGATATTTTCAGCTAATTCATAGAAACCTTTGAAGTGTACGTTGTGATGATTGGTAGTCAACACTCAGAACTTCAGCACTGTACTAAGTTTAATTCTATTCTCTGTTAGCCTGTTTGATCCGATCACAAAAAGGATTGATCTCAGCCAGTCTATCTAAATGATCTACAACCTCAGTGTTGAATAACACAAGAGATAAACAATTTCTCGATAACCCATGCTTTCAAGTTTTGCATACTGTAAAGTCATGTCAAAATCTTAGAAAGACATTGCGTCCAATTTCACCTATAAAACCATAGAAAAAAGTCTGTCTTCATTCAACTAGATTTTAAAGGTGAAAACATTGTAGAAATGGTCAACAGAAGACTGAGAACGTCACTAGCCAGAACCTATCCTGCAGCTAAGTTGGTTCCTGTCCATCGAACAACATGCTCTTTGTTGGAGTCAAAAGTTGATAGATACCCTTCTCATGTTAACTCCAACTGTGTATACAAATCTACATGTATCTGAGGGAGCAGTTACATTGGGACAACAGAAAGAAGGGCACACTTCCGATTTTCTGAACATGTGCCAAATAGCCTACGTCTCCAGCATGGAACAAACTCTTATAGTAGTGCGATTACCAGACGTCTCTTCGACATGGATCATGAGGTGGAAATCGAGAAATCCTTTAAAATTATCAATAGACAAAGAAGCTCGATTCTCCTCAAGTTTGTCGAAGCAATTTCCATCAAACGCTTAAACCAAACCAGATTTATGTGTTCAGATGGAAGCGGTTATCAGTCTTTCTTTGCCCTGGCAACTGAATGTCTTTATTCTCTCATCTGATCACGTAATCTGTGTCTTTAACCTCACCCCTATTCTTTTATAATCTGTAATTTTGCTTGTCTCTTGTTTCTATGATTTGAGTTAAGGCCAGTACATTGTTACCTAATTTACTAGTCCCTCTGCACCTAATGCATTTCTCGTCTTTATTACGTAACTAACTCCCTGACCATTGCATGTACACATTTGTTTTGTTTAAACTTGAACTGTCTGTGTAAGAAAGTATATAAGCACAATTTTCTGAGCACTGTTCACCAACTGTGGAACTTTCTGTCAACTGACATCATGAGGAGAAAAGAATTTGCAAGTTTGTTAAAACTTTTCTGTACATAAACCTCATAATATATTTAGGCTGTAAGCAGCTGATAAGAAATAAATGATGGTATCATATTATTCTGCACAAACCACTGTCGTTCTTATTCTATTCAAATTCATCAAGGGGAATAAATGCATGAAGAAAATGACTAGTGTGTGTGTGTGTGGCTGCATACAGAACGCGTAGACAGATAAAGATTTCACTCCTCTTTCCAACTATTGTACTCAACCGAAATGAAGAACATTAAATTGGAATTTCTGGAAGCATTTTAAGTCATCTCTCTAAGGACCTCATATGCCAACAGTAAGTGATGCATTCTATTCAACACTTTTTGATTAGGATGCAATGTCCTTCAATTAATGAAGATAACTCCGCTGTGTTGTGCACACATTCAGCCGGGAGGTCTTGTATAAACTGTGACAGGCAGTTCGTTTTCATCTAACGGCTACCACATAAGCATTAAGGCAACACAAACTATCATATGTGAGAGTTAAACACTGTCCTATCATCTGAGCAGCCTACCAAAACATTCACTAAATCCTGTCACACTATAAAATGGTAATGTTAAAAAGTTAAATGTTACAAAACTGCTAATCTGTAAGCTGAACAGCAGAAAGCATTAACTGACTTAGATGTTGTCCTGTCTGACACTTATCAAAACTTGTTTGCTACCAAGCTATTCAAGAATGTCTACAGGTCCCTCTACTAAAAATTGGTTTATGCATGACAGTATTCATACAACACAGATTGATTGATGTGAGTAAAGTGAACACCACTCGCATAAAACTAGTAGTGCTTGCTAGTCAAACAGAAGTGAACTGAACTCCAGACGTTCATTATGCTCATTTGGAGACAAGCTCATCAGCGGTAAATGGGGTATAATTTATTTCCTATGACCGAATCAGTTCAGAGACCACGCTAATTTGATCTAGAGTAGAACACGTCCAAGTGGTTCAGATTCCAGGCCACAGCACTCACATAATCCTCAACTGACTGAAAGTAAACCTGAATAGTAACACAGTCAGGTGTGAGGTTAGCAACTCAACCCCCTCATCCCCACCCTTTAAAATAACGGTATCATTTCTGGAACTCTAAAGTTGGAACTTGAAGAGCTACCTATATGCAACTGGGAATGAAAATAATGCATAGGAAATAGTTGCCAGACAGTGACTTATACCTGGACATGTATATTGTCCAGTGATATGTACATTAAAACATAAATTTATAGCTTTCAACCACAGGGTTCGATCCCCATTAAAGTTGTGGGCATACACGCCACTAGGGAGGCTATCGAATGACACCACGCTCAATACAGGACATCATTCGAGTGGAAACCCAGTGGGAACATACGAGTGGGTCATCAGCGAGAGGGTAACATGGAGCAGATGAGAGATTATGGTCAATCATAGGTACAATCAGCTGAAGAGGACAGCGGAAAATATAACGAAGTGGAGATGTGTTGTTGAAGCCCCAAGGAAATAATAAATAAATTTTAAAAAAAAACAATAAAATCTATTGAAATTCACACTGAAAGTAGCCAAAACGGGGGAAAAACAGGAATTTTAACTGACTAACTAACTAACTAACTAGCCAACTAACTCACCATCAGAACTGGAATCCATGTACATTGAAAAGTGAATGATCAAATAATTATTCTTTATAAATAATTATATGAAAATTTAATATTTTTGATAATGTAATCGAATGAAGACAAAAAATTGAATTTGTCAACTTTAAGACTACTCAAAAATAACATAAAATATAGAGTGATGATGAAACGACATTGAACTAGACAAGAATTATTAAATTGTATAAAAATTGTAATATAAAAATATTGTAATAGCCAGAAAACATGCAGACATTAGAAGAGACACACAACCACACACACACACACGCCCACACACAAACTTAAATACTTTACACCACACGTCATCGCTCATCAGTGGACTATAGAATGATGGTGGTAGGCAGAAAGCTACTGTAAAAACTGAAGAAAAAAAATGGTATTTGAGAAATCAGCTGAAAGATAATCTGAGTGCACACACGTACGCGCACACACGCACACACACGCACACACATAGATACGCACACACACTGATAAACTTATTGTTTTTTAACGTGAATCCGTGACTAGATGGTTGGATGGATGGATGGATGAATGAATGGAGGATATTTATTTGAACTTTTATTATTTCAGTATGTTCCTATTGGCCTATAAACGCATCTCTCCAATCCGTCCCTAGCCCCCCCCCATCCCAGACTGCCCCACCTGTCATAATCACAGACAGATACATACCTCACCCACCCCAGCAACAACAACAACGACAGCAAACTTGCATTACTGAAGTAATCTTACAGTGATTAAACCAAAAAAGGTTTAGATATATAAAGAAAAGCAAATATTTTCACCCGCCATCATTTTTATTGTTTTGTCGAGGATGTATAAATATATATATTCAGACAGCAGAATACAAATACCACACACACGGAGAGAGAGAGAGAGGGGAAGAACAATAAATGCGTGTTTATGACATCAGCTGATGATGCATAGACACCAACGGATACAGGCGCACACACACACACACAACAAAAATCTTACCCCACCTATTACACAAAGATTGAGCAGCTAACTCACTAAAATGACTAAGGTGTCTAAGCACATAGTTTGTATATGTCGTATTTAAGAAAAAAAAGCACACAAATACACACAGTTTCTTTCGATTTGACAAGGCTAGCCATATATCTCTAACAATTGCCTATCAAGAGAACAATAGACACTATTTAATGTGGAACAATAGAAATTTGTGTAAATATTGTGTAAATAGTATTAGTTGTAGTATTGTTGTTATTTGTTTTTTATCTAACTATCTATCGTAAAATCTTTATCAACAAAAGTGAAGTGTTACAATGAAGAATTTGATTGTCTTGTTTACTAATATTGACTGTGTTTTTTTTATCGATCCGTATTCCTTCGATTGGAGTTGATTGATAGTCCACACACACACACACACACAATAAGTGTTTATACAACATGCATAGTATTCAGAGTGTAGTTTAACTGGTGCAGAACATTTAGCCTTCATCTAGGGGAGTTTCAAGTGAAACAGGCATCTCTAGGACATTATGTGATGTAGTGTTGTTCTGTGTGAAGAATAAAATAATCGTTACAGAATTTCATTATGAGCTGACATTAGTTAGAGATTCATTGGAAAACCACATTGGAGTACTGGACAGCTTTTTCGTCAGTCTAGTTTGGGACTCTTCAGCAGTACGCACCCACCGCCATAGTTTGGACCCAGGACCGTCGTGTTATAAGCCGAGCTCGTATACCATTAAGCCACTGGGACCCAATCCAATGGACAGTCCATGAATCCCAACTTCTGCCAACTCACTTCATAGTGCTACCCCTAGCCAGTGTCTTCGGCTAGTATTTGTCCTCACACCCGACCGGCTGCACCCCACTGGTCACGACTTGTCACTAGAACCCCAGATAACTACCTACCTGAATAGAGCAAGTCGCTAGCAAGCATCTCAATGATATTCAAGAGTTGGTTTGTAAGGAAGGCCCTGGGTTCGAGTCCCGATGGGTGCGTACTACTGAAGAGTCCCAAACTAGGACGAAACGGCTGTCCAGTATTCCCAGGTTTGTCAGCTCATGATGAAATCCCGTAGCCAATCAAATCCTTACAAACCAACACTTGAATAATAAAATAATCGTTTAAGGTATTTCTCTGTGGTCCACCAGAAATGAGCAATGTTAGGTTGTGAGTCTCTGTCTAATGTCACACAAACTCGAAGAATTACAGGCAGGAGAAAACCAACTAACCGGCTGAAGAAGAAGCAGGGCAGTGAAGACAGGACTCTAGGTGGTGAACACAGAGAAGACAGATGTGACAAAAGTAACCAACCAACGATAACAACAACCAGCACCAATCACCATCAACGGGAGGGAGAGATTTAACAGTGGTTGCCTCCTTCACTTATCTGGGCAACCAGCATCGTTTCAACTACATGTGGGTGGCACGGATGGAGACGTCAACCAGTCAGAATCGGAAAGGCAAGATACGCCTTCATCAACCTGAAACCAGTTTGGATATCTTCTACACTCAGAATAATAAGGAACAAGATTCGCATTTTTCAACACTAATGTGAAGTCGATTCTTCTATTATTATATTATTATTATTATTGTATCCTTTAGTTCCTAGAGGAACATAGGGCTTCAGCTGCGCACCTCCATTGACTTCGGTTTTCTGACAACTTTTTCACCCTGCTCCAGGTCTGTCCACATGCTTTCATCTCCTCCTCGCATGACCTCCTCCAAGTCACCCTTGAACTGACGACCAACTCGCCGCCTCCCTTTCGGGTTCCACTCGAGCGATAGCTTGTCTAGTGATGTCACTCACTTGATGGTTTGTTTCCTCAGAGTATGGCCTCCACTCCACCTCCATTTCTTCCTGCCTATTTGTTTCACAATCCGTTCCTGCTGGGTTGGTTCGCTCATTGCCAGAGATCCCTGTTGGTGATCTTTCTTGGCCGGCCATCTGATCTTGAGTATTGAGTGAAGACAACTGTTAATGAAGGTCTGAAGTTTGTTTGAGATGCTCTTTATGACGCGCGGGCCAAGTCTCTAATCCGTATAGTAGCACTGACTTCTCATTGGAGTTGAAAATTCGGATCTTACTTTCATTTTCATGCTGAGTGCTGTTGACCTCCACACAGACTTAAGAGTAATGAAAGCTTGTCTTGCTTTTCCGATTCTGGCTTTGATATCCTCGTCAGTTCCGTGGGCCTGTAGTTGAAACGATGCTTCCCAGGTAGGTGAAGCAGGCTGTTTCTTTCAGGTTCTTCCCACTTATGCTGATTGTCGTCTGTTGTTGTTGCTGCTGTTGGTGTTGGTCAGGAATCTTCATCACCTCTGTTTTATCTATGTTCACTTGAAGTCCTATCTTTGATGCCTCTTCTATCGCGAACTTGTTACTTTTCACTAGTATATCTTCCAGCTTGTGGGAAATCAGACATATATCATCGGCGAAATCCAGATCCTCCAAGTCTTTTGTGTCAGTCCATTTTATGCCTGTTCCCTCGTTGGTTGCCGTTGTCTGTCGCATCATCCAATCAATTGCAATCAGGAAGATCATTGGCGATAGTATACAGCCTTGTCTCACTCCCGTCCTCACTTCGAAGGCTTCCGTAAGTTTCCCGTTGTGGATAACCTGGGATGGAGCACTGTCGTATAACTGTACGGGTCAGAAACTTGCCCAGCGTGTCACGAGAAGGATTTCCAACAGTCTGTTGCAGACGTTGATCAACAGCTGCCTTTGCTGGCTGGCTTCATACTGAAGATCAAATGGCCAACCAGAAAGAATAAGCAACAAGAAACTCTGGCGATGAACAAACCAACAAAGCAAAAGTCGATCGCTCAACCAATGAATATGTAGGAGAAAATGGAGATGGATTCATCGGGCATACATTGAGGAGGCCACCAAATGACACCGCATGCCATTCAATGCCTCAATTAGAATCCCAGTAAGAAGCGACGAGTGGGTCGTTAGCACGAGGGTGACATGGAGGAGATCGTGTGTTGGGAAGGAGGAGGAGATGAGAGAATTTGAGTAATCTTGAACCCAGCTGAAGACGACGGCAGAAAATAGAACACAAAGTGGAGATGTATACAATTGGTGGATGGTGGCTAGGGGTGGAATCCAGGATGCACATTTCGTCCTATTTGGGACTCGTCAGCTGGATGTACCTGCATTTCTCAGTGAGTGATGATGTTCCCACCGAGGCTCGAACCCAGTACCCATAGTTTCAAACGCCAAAGCGTTATCCACTAGACCACTTGGGCCACGAGAGCCACCTCTTGTGCATCCAGATGACGAGTCCCAAATAGGACGAAATGCGCATCCTGGATTCCACTGCTAGCCACTATCCACCGATTGTATACTAACTAAATGCCCAGACATCGTCGAAGCATCTGCACAAGAAGCCTACATGTCAACCTGAGTGAGACCGAGCACTTCGGTCCAATCAATCGACGGGAAAATCAAAAATTCAATTCAATAAAGTGGAGATGTGTTGTTGAAGGCCTATTGTTCCACTCGGATCGTAAGGGAATAATAATAATAAGGTTTCAAGCCGATTAAAAATGTACACCCAGAAACATAACTGAATGATTATGACAACATGAATTAAGACAAAGCAATGAGAAGATGTCATTTGTCTGAATCATGTATTGTGTATTTGTGCGCACAACAAATTTCGAACAATCTGATCACACATGAACTTCTCATAGGAATGTGTATATATATGAAATTAATAAAAAGTTAAGAGGGGTGAAAATAGAGAAGTTTAGTCAAGTTAAAAGGACATATTGAAGGCCAAAATAAAAATGAATATCACTCAACCAAATAAAGGAGGTAACGGTACATCTATCCTGACTGGTATCAGAACAAAGCTTACCGATGAAGTCAGTTGGGTGTGTGTGTGTGTGACGAATTGTTGCTTTGATCGTATAAAGGTGGTTTAAGCTCCCTAACTGCCAGCTAGGGCTTCCACAAACTTTAGGATACACCCCCAAACACGTTTTACAGATAAGCTTGAAAGACGTGTAAACACCAGTTTTATATC